GGATTACTTTTTTCTAGCTATAAAAAAGTGTTCATCCGAAAAAGTACATGCTGATGAGCTGTAAGCTCTTCTCGCACGACTTTCTGCTAAATCTACCCACGAGAGTCATTCTTCTTCTTTCTTTTATTTTTACGCCTAATCCAGGTCCTCTTGCTCGAGATTTTTCCCAGTGGTCTAACTCTTGTCGAAGCGTCCTTGTCGTTCAGATAACGAGATAACGAGGCCAGGGAATGAGTTATAGCTCTGACTGTTTGCCGAGTAGGGAGCATCGTTTGTTTAACGTCCTCGAGCAGGGCTGGCCCTCGTATTGACCTCGTCTGCGTCGTCGCGTGTAAACGTCGCGACGCGGGCGATTCTGTCGTGCGCGACATCTTCACTGGACGCCACCACGGTTGGGGCGCATTGTCCGCTTGCTTCTTTCTCTCCTAGTCCTTGTTGTTTTAGTTTGGGTTCTTTTCCGTTGTTGTGCTAGAGGCGATGCAGCCGTTGCTTCTCATCCGCTTATTGGGAACAACTTTCCCTTTTTAGTATTATTTCGCCTTTGGAAAGCATACCACACTCTTTTTCTAATCAATGACTCGCACGTAATTTTACTTAACGTTTCCCAACGTTGCTTATACATAGTAAGTTTCAGAGCGAAGAGTGTGGCGAATCGATCGAGCTCTGTCCTTATCATCGCAATCTTCAGCGAGATGACTCACTCGGGCGACTATTAATTCATCATCCTACTGGTACACCTGCCTTCCACACCTTTTGACGTCAATGTTACGACGGCGTTCCTTGCGGTCTTTCACGATCGTTCTTGCCGTTGCTTCACTTAACCTTCTTGCTGTTTGCGGTTTCAATTTGGACGTTTACGCTCCAATTTACAAGTATGGTCAGGAGAATACCTACTTTGGTTACACAGTGGCAGAGCACTTCAAGGTCGATGAACCTGTGTAAGTTATTTCTTTATGTATTATTTTAATATATCCTTTTAAAAACGTTTTTCTACAATTCATTGAACGTGAATCCTGAATAATCAGTATCGATAATTAATATTCCGAAAGTCTTCTTAATTCTTCTTCTGCCAGCAAGTGGCAAAATATATTGAGCATCTTTCAACCTCTAGATTTTCTTTTGCTTCAGAATGCATGAAGTTGTTACTTCACAAGCGGTTGGTATTGATGTTATACGATTAGTCTGCTTTCCTACGTATTCTCACTCATCGTTTTATGAACCTATCCGTTGAACCGCAATCATGCAAAAAGAAACGCATTTATCAACCATTTTGAGTCTTAACTCTCTGAGGCTTTCTTCTAATGTATACTCAGTAGCTTCTCATTCTTCTAATTCTTGATTTGATTTTAATTTCGTATGTGTATCTTTTAAATTTTTTACATCTATATTTTCATATGTGTTCCAGATAACTTATTATCCGAAATTACAAAAGTTGGTGTGATTTATT